ACCCTACGGATTAAGAATGGGATGTCATTAAAGTTCATGTGCGTGTAAAGGCAGACGTCCCAAAACTTTTGGCAATATAGTGTATGTTTTAACCATTCTGCTGTTCTACTGTGTGTGTGTGTTTGTGTGTGTGTGTGATGGAGAGAGATGTTGGCTGTGCATGTGTAAGAGGGAGGGAGGTACTGTGTTTAACACAAATATTTTAGAGGCATTTTTTGGCTGACTGAGCCATTGAGTGAGAGAAAACCTCTACCCTTTCAAGTGAGTATATTTATATGTGCACCTCTTGTCATGTCCTGCATTATCTCTGCACAATCCTCAAGAGGTAAATATAGATCTACCAACAAAGTCTAGCTTTTTGCTATGCTGGTTTTTCATAACAGATTACAATTCATACTGGGAGGGGGAGGGGTTCAGCTTGATTTAGATTAAATATTAACAATGAAGAAATAAGCAGCTTGAAGTTTCCAAAATGCAGAATAATTCTGTCAGCAACGATGAGAACGGATTAGCCTGAAATTCTCAAGCTACTTATGCGCCTGCATCAATACTGGTTGAGATGTTAATTGATGGACTTATACATCAGAGAGAGAGAGAGAGAGAGAGAGAAAAATACTTAATTATTGAAATACTTAAACGTCACAGTCCAGGGTTTAATTAGGCAGCAATGTGATGTCAATATAATGAATTGAAAAATAATTATAGTGTCCAATACTGCAGGGAAAACCTCCAGGAATAACTGAAAGTGTGAAAAAAGAGAAATAGAAGCTGAGAGTATAGTGAGGAAATATTTCAATAAACAGTAACTATACTACAAGTCAAGTATTAGAACAATAAGCTTTATATTCATAGCTGTGTTATCCATCTATTTAGTGCAAATGCATAATTTGTAACAGTACACTGTACAAAAGTTAGGGTGCCATATGTGTAAGTGTTCCCACATAAATACAATGAAATAAATAATTAAATGCTGAAAGATGCCTTGTTTGAAACCTGAATAGAAATATTTTCGGGGAAAAAATATCAAGAGAAACAAGGAAGCTTGGGGGTAAGAGGGTTGTGTGTAACTCCCATAACCAGAAGCTGCCTAATGAAACACCACATATGGAACAATGACTTGGGAGAAAATCTACAGGCACTATTCCACTGTATTAATAAATATTTCCCTTCAGTTATTACTGTAGTATTTTTATTTTTTTACTATATTTACCTCAGGACAAAGTCAGCAGCTGAGCACTTAATCACATGAGCTCTGTGCAGGCTCTTTACGTGCTGTTGTGATAAAATAATAAACTACTACTACTGTAGTGATAAACTACTCTGTAGCCCAGTATGCAGGAGGAATATCCTAGGAAACCACTGCATATGAGGCTGAAGTTGAACTGTTTGCTAAGTGTGCATCTGTCATTGGATCAGCAGAGTGCTTTTCAAATTTACCACGTTACTGCATTTCATCTCTCTTAAGAGGGCAGATGATCTTGACAATTAGGACACTATTCAGAAGAATGCATTATAAATCAACAATGATGGATTGTGCGTTACTGGACTGAATCTCTTTACCTTAGGTGAAGGGTTGTGTGTTTGAGCAAAGAAGTGCACTTCAATATGATGCATTGGTCTTTCTGTTTCACCTCTTAGACTGCTTATGGCTTAATGGCAGGTGTTGGCTGCTTGCTGACGCTTCAGATCCTAACAGCAGCTCTAAGCGGTTCACAGAGTGTGTGGGCGGTTCATTTGACTAATGCCACTTATTTCACTTTCAAAACAGGACGCACAGCCTATGGAACAGTGCACTGCCACTCCGCTTATGTTCAGTTAATGGTGTCGCTGCTCATTCGTGTGTGTGTATGTCTGTGTGTGTGTGTGTGTGTGTGCGTGTGTGTGTGGGTTGACTGAAGATCTCAGTATCTCACACATTAATGTGAGGCCAGTGGTTGTCAGATGGGAATTTCAGTGGGGCTGGTGGGTGTTCCACACTTAACTGCCACAATGTCTGTGCAAACTAAGATGTGGTGTACTTAGAAAGCATGTCCTGCTGGATAGAATGTATGTTTATGGTGTATCTCAGACAGGAGTAGACATGATACTTCAATGAGTCATATCAGACAGGAGGGAAACAAATAAGCCAAGACAAAATAGAAACAGCAGATACATACACAGATACCTAGAAAATCGCTTTAATAGCTATTTCTACTCTAATAGCTACTCTAGTGTGTGTTAAGATTCTCCTCAGTTCCGATTCTCTTCAATGTAATTATGAAAGAAATGAATGGTTGGCCGGTGCATGGCCTCCAGAGCTGGTGCTTTATTAAAAGCACGGATGATTCTTATTGGGAAAGTGTCAGCAATGCCCAGCTGAAGAGCTTTTATCTTCTCCACTGTGACATATGTGCTTTTCTCCAACTCTCTCTCCAACTCATTAAGCTTTTTCTCCTCAAATCTTTCTTTGTCTTTCTGTCTCTCTATATTTCTCATTTCTCTTTCACTCACATGTTTTTCTGTATGTGTTCCTACATGTGTTGCTGCAATGTCTACCATATCCTGTTACACCTTGGTATGATTTTCCACATTGTGTCTTTATATTACATTAAGATGTATTTTGCCTCATGTAGCCACAGGACTGAGTACAAATTTAAAATCCTCCCCCACACTGGATTGCCATTTAACGGTTGACTTTAATTAGAATGTTAAAATTGATCTGCAGTGCCTCGTGGTCTTAAATTGGATGTGCTATGTTGTGTGTGTTAAATGAGCATGACACATGAGTCTCCATCTGATTGAATGAAGCAATGACATGGCTTAGGTGCCTTCAATACTGACAAGCCAAATAGAAGCGGTGATAATGAGATTACTGTGCAAGCCGCAAATATACTTAAAGCAGTTCTTTAGTGGCTTGAGTGTGATTATGAAGCCTTCTGGCAGTAATGAACCAGGGTGAAGAACCCAAACGCATAAGCAAATTACTAATTAATAGCCATTAATCCAAGCCTCTGCCTCACTCTCAAACAATGGAAAGCTACACCAAAACAAGTGAACCTGAGGGGCATGCTTTAAGAGTCTTTTTTTCTGAAAGGAAATTGTGCAGTAATCTTCATACTCAGTAGCTAAATAGGGCAGTTGTAGTTCAGTGGTTAAGATGTTGGGCTACTGATCAGAAGGTCATTAGTTCAAATCCCGGTACTGCTACTGCTTGGCCCTTTAGCAAGGCCCTTAACCCTTGTGTAAATGGCATAAATGTACGTCACTCTGGATGAGGGTGTCTGCCAAATGCCATAAATGTAAAATAGGTCTTGTGGAATTCATTCACTGAGGGATAACAAGGAATTCCAATGACCTATTCATCCCATCACACATGTTAGAGTTTATCTTGATTACACATAAATGGTGTCCATTATGTCAATTTACTCACATACATGTATGTTCCCTATTTCCCTCATATGTGCCTAGGGAAGTGCAGGACATCAGCTGAGGAGCTGGAGGTTTAATCTTTTGTTAAGGTTCTTAGATTTAGGTCATATTATTAATATTAATACCTAATGCATAATGTTAGTTACTGTATTACACTCCTGGGCAAAATATGGGCCAAGCCCAAAATGGCAAAACATTAAGATTTTAATATTCTTAACAATAAATCATTGGTCAGGAAATTAGCAAGAATTAAACAAATAGATAAAGGAACTTAGTATGGGATAGCTTTTCCCTTTGGTTTCTTTAAATGTTTAAGCCTTGTGGCCCTTGAAGGGCTGCATCAGGTGTGGCAGATAACCAAATAATAACTAATCTTTTAAGAAAAAAAAAACATCCCAGAAGATATTTTTGGAAAATTTTGTACACCCAGACGTGTTAGTTTGAATTTTACATCAAACATTTTAATCATCATCATGATATTACCTTTGCATACAAGAAGACTATATAAGTGAATTCTCTGTTTCTAGCTTTTCCCCAAACAAACAGTTCACTGCAGCAAAAGTAAACCAGCAAATGGTGGCACAGGAGCTCTCAGGAGTACATTTGTTTAATTTTTGCTAATTTTCTGACCAATGATTTATTGTTAAGACCATTAAAAGCTTAATATTTGCCATTTTGGGCTTGGCCCTTTTTTTTGCCCAAGAGTGTACATTATGGCTAGCGCTTTACATTAAGTTTCCCTTAAGCGACATTATTTAACACATTAGTTAACATAAATAAACCATGTGCTTCAGCATCAATACACCATAAGTAATGGAAAGAATACAAAACACAATACCGTATACCGTAGTAATAATTCACTTGAGTAAAAGTAAAAGTAGTTATCAAGAAATTACTCAAGTAAGAGTAATTAAGTCGTCTAGTGAAAAACTGCTTGAGTAATTACTTTACTAATTAGTTTTTATATGTCTATAATTTATACATGCTCTATTTTTATTCTGTTCTTATGTTAACAAACCAAGTGAGCTATGCTGAAGAGAACACCACCTCCATCATCAGCAGTGTATATAAGAAAGGTAACGTTAGGTGGCCAAATGCTGTTGGGGCTCAGTAGCTTGTTAGGTTAATTAGCTAGCTAGCTCATGTTAACTCATACATGTTTCTAGCTACAGAGTCTAGCAAAGATGCCCCTTACACATTATCCTTAGCAATATGTATAGGCTGTAGTAGCATGCAGTGCAGCTTTTGATACCATTGATCATACTACTAATACTATACAAACATGGTATTAGCTTCCACTGTTATGCTGATGAAACACAGTTGTATGTTTCAGCATACATGCTGTCGCCTCCCCACTCTCAAGTGTTCACTCAGGTTTGTTGATGGTGGAGTGGCTGGCCACTTTATGTTCCAGGGTGCCTTCATGTCTGTGTCACCTTCTGGCTCTCCCTTTTAGTTATGCTGTCATAGCTAGTCTTGCCGGAGTCCCCGCTTGCACTCTGCAAGCAAAGTACATTGTCCTTAACCATTACGGGACAAAAGCTTACCTAACAATCTCTCTTTCTCTCTCGCTTTCTCTCTCCCTCTCTCTCTCTCTCTGTTGAGCTACACATGCTACTCCTGAGATACTAGTGATCCTGACCCCTTCTGAGGGGTCTCAGGTCTCCATCAGTGGACAGTGGATATGTTCAACAAACCGGACTTCATGTGAAAATTAATGAATTTACTGGATGCTCAATTGCACTATTTGTCCATGTAGTACACAGTTATAGAAGGGATTTATTTACAATTGCACTATCCATTATCACCCAGATGAGGATGGGTTCCCTTTTGAGTCTGTTTCCTCTCAAGGTTTCTTCCTCATATTGTCTCAGGTAGTTTTTCCTTGCCACCGTCGCCTCTGGCTTGCTCACTAGGGATAAATTCACACATTTACAATTTGTTTTGATTTAATCTATTTTAAATGAATTTAATTCTATAAAGCTGCTTTGTGACAATGTCCATTGTCAAAAGCACTATACAAATAAAATTGAATTGAATTGAATTGAAATTGGTCCAGGGATGCTCATCTGCCTCCACTGTCTCAGACATTGCTGCTGCTGACTCAGCTTTTGGCACCTGAAATGTAGACTTTCAGCAGGAAAATGCTTTATTATGATTGGATATTGAAATTGAATTGTTTAAAATGTGCACATACTGTCTTTTAATTGGCTTACAGTCTCCCAGGGTTAAAAGCATTATTATTTTTTTGCTCTGAAGTGGTGATAAAAAATAATAGCAAAGTTGATTACTTGTTTAAAAAACAAGTAAATATACTGTAATTTAATTATACTCATAAAAGTACTATTACAGTGAACCATGTACTCAAGGACTGTAACAAACTAACGAACATTTGTATTGATTGATGATTTTTTTAAATAATAAATTGAATAAGCCAGATAATCAACAACTGCACTAACCAATGTTCATACCATCAATATACAGTCAATGGACTGTATAAACATTAGACAATGCTGGAGTTAAAATTTAAATAAATGTCAATTAATACAAGTGTTATTTAGTTTGTAAAATGTTACTTATGGTTCATTAATGCTGAATGTTCCTGGTTTGTTAATGTTAACTAGTGCAGTAAATAATGTCAGTTAATGAACCCTCAATGTAAAATGTTGCCACATGCAACATGCATTTAATGTAAGATGGAAAAGACAAAATTTCACAGCTTCACAGCCATGGAATAATTCACTCTAAAATAATTTCTTGCTTTAAATTTAATAAATTTAAATTTAAATTAACTAACATGGTCAAACTAACTGAGACAGACGTAGTAAGCTAATACAATGTAAGCAGATTATTCTCTTATCTGAACAATATAGTTTATACTGTGGCCTTGACAAGAGAGGAAACATTATTACAACAAAAATGATCTAAATAATGATTATAATGTTTAAAGAAAACAACAGTATGTTGACATCTGCCTGCCATTCTGTTAGTATTTGCTATTTGAGCTTGCCTTCAAGGTAATGCGCTACTCTGTCTGCACAGATCTTCCTACTCCACCTGAGAGGATTACAATATCAGGCTATGATTGATATTCGAGGCGTGGTGCCTCTTACTGCCAAAATTGCATGTCCAAACAAAAAAAATGTATCCTATTGAAATTCACATTTGGTTCTGCCCTAGTTTTGACTCATATACATTTATATAGTGGGGAGGAAGCAGCCTCTCATGCCCAGAGACTTTAGATATTATCTCATAAGTAACTATGTGCCAGGCAGATCTTCTTCTGTTCTTTAACACACATTGTGCAGAGATATCAAGGGATGGTGCCATAGACAGGCAATCTAGATAATAAATTCTCCAGTGTAATCAGCAATTTGTTTGCAGGGCTTGGCAGTAGCTCCAGTTGTAACAGGGTTCTAATACAATTCGTAAGATAAACCAGAATTTTAGTTAGAGATAACTTTTTTCCTGAAATGAAAAAGTAATCGTGCAGAGGGGATATAAAAATCTTTTTATTATCTATGATAAATTGCATGGATGTGTGTCTTCAAGCACACCGATGTCTGTCTTGAAATTGTCAAGAGAATCTGATTTAATAGCAACCATAATATTCAGGCATGCAAGGGACACATTGGGGTTAGCTCAGGTATCTGACTGAGTTGTAGAATTTTCTATTCATTTGTATAAGAAAGGTTTGAATTAGTCTTGTGCATAGAGTTGAGAGTGTTGAGCTGCCCTGCATGCTCTCAGTAGCTGTTTCAGGCATGAATGGCCAGTCGTGTCTCTGTGGGGAAGAGGCAGTGTTGGAAATTGCTTGGCAGGCAAGCTAACCAAGTGAGCAGTTTGCATTTGGAGCACAGCTGGCGTGTGTGAAGACTTCCTAAGCCGTGTCACAAGGGGTGTGCACAAGTGTGAGCAGTGAAGGTTGGTTGGCAGCATGCATGACTGCCCTTGAAGAGCTAATGATGCTGATGGTGGTGAATGAGCGTCTGCTCATGAGGAGCATGCCGCTCGATGTCACCCCTCGTCGCTTACATTGCCTCAGTGCATCTACACACATACACTAACATTCTGTCTTTTTATATTTCAGCCTCTTCAGCCTGTATTCACCTCAGTCTTTGCTTGCTCTGAACCATACAGGTCTCAGGATGTGTGTGAGGGGAAGTTGAAAGCTTTGTGTCTTGCTCCACCCATGAGCCATGGAGTCTGATATCTTTTGTACGCTTTTCTGGCCACAACCTTCAGGATCTTAAAGGGTGCAATCTGATCAGCTCTGTGCATTGCTGGTTGTCAGTGGTTAAAAAAAATAAATTGAACACTGTGACACAATGCACTTTGAGCTAAGAGCAAGACACAGTAGCTGAAAGTTTACAGAATCCCATCCAAGTTATTAAGCAGTTTTTTTATTATACAGTGGTGAGTAAATGAGATAATCTTGCGTGTTTGAGATGGGTTGTTCTATCTATCTATCTATCTATCTATCCTTTCCTTACCTAGCTCCATTATCTCTCTTTCCTTGAATGGAGAGATTTATAACACAGGAGTTTTACCATCATAGACTGGATGTGCCATGGTTGTTTTTTTTTCTTTAAGGTCACTGGCTTGCTGTAATAAAGGGATTTATACAAGTGAGTGCACTCCACTGTCCCCTTCTCTAGGTCACCCCTGTAAGGGCTTTTATATATTTAGAGACTGGCTCTGTCCCTCCGTCAGTGCAAGGACTTAATAGATTTCCTGGCTGTGCTCACCATGAGGCAGGACTGTGCTGGTCTGAGCAG